TCGCTCGCTCGCTCGCTCGGCGCGGGGTCCCTGGGGGCGGCCCTCAATCAAACTCTTAAGCAAGGGCCAGGACTAGGATAAGAATACTGAAGTATTCCCTCAGGCAGAGAATTTAAGGGGCACCAAAAAATTCAGTAATCAAAACACATGCTAATTTAATGCAATTAAAAATATTATTTTGCAGAGGCTAAGTATTTCCTTTTATTTTATTAATTTATCTTACTGATTCTCATAATTGTTGAGCTGACAAGTCTAAAATCTGAAGGACTGGCCAGACTTCTGAAAAAAAGTGTTGCTGTAGTCTTGAATTAGAAATTAACCTTTTTTCCCAAAGAATTATTTTATTTTATTTTATTTATTATTATTATTTTCTTTTTAAAAAATAATTATTTTATTTAACCCTGTTTATTTATTGATTTATTTTAATTTGATCAGAGAGAGAGAGAGGGAAAGCTGCCAGGGCTGGGACTTGAATTGTAGTTGGCCATGTGGGAGTCCAGCACCCTTAACCACCATGCCACCAGCCAGCCCCATCATTATTATTATTTCAATTTGATCAGAGCGAGACAGAGAGAGAGAAAGGGAAAGTGAGAAAGCAAGCTGCCAGATCTGGGATTCAAACCACAGTTGGCCATGTGAGAGTCCAGTGCCTTAACCATCACACCACCTGCCAGCCCAATGCAATAGTTTTTTAAATGAATAATTTTATTTATTATAATTATTATTCAATTTGCATAGTATACATGCAAGAGAGAGGGAGAGAGAGAAAGCGAGAAAGCAAGGCATCAGGTCCAGGATTCGAACCATGGTCCACCATATGGGAATCCAGTGCCTTAACCACCAAGTCAGATGCTGCCCCCCACTCAGTGCAATATTTTAAAAAATAAAAATGAATGCAAAAAATACATAGTAAATAAAACAAACGCTTTAAATAAAGACAAGACCTAATTACTATATTAGACAAAGAAGTGAGTGGGCACAGAACCGGTATCCTACTTTGAGAGCCTGCAGTCCAGGAAGAGAGTTGCAAATTCATCCTGCTTGGTCTAACTCAAGGTTTAGTACTGCTCTTGACCTCCCCAATCCCGTCAGAAGCTCAACAATAGAGGCAGGGTCCTATAGCTAAGACCTCTAACACTGGAAAGCAACAGATGGCTGCTGATTCCCTTGGACATCCCTTCGTCAGGATGTGTACATGAGGAGTGGAAAAGAAAGGAATGGAAAGGAAAGGAGAGGTTTCTAATTGATACAATGACATTAGGAGCTACAAACAAGATCATCTTCTGTTTCTTCTTTCTTATCTTAGCATTTGGTCTTTTCCATTAAGAAAAGGTTAATGAAATTTTTTAAAAAGATGTTTTTTGATTCTTTTTTTTTTTAAAGAGAAATTTTGTCACAGGGTGCACATGCTCACCAGAGAACAGAGACAGAAAACAAGAAATCACCCCAATGGGGTTATTGCCATGTCAAAGTCTCTTCTTGATCCTCCTCTTCTTTGGGGATGCACACACATGCAGCCAGCCTGAGTTTTCAGCTGCCAGGTCTGGGACTTGAGACGTGGTCAACTACGTGGAAGTCCAGTGATGGAACCATTACATCATCTGCTGGTCCCCAAACCAGCTTCTTCACTGCTGATAAGTGTTCTTGATCCTTTTTGCTGTCTTGCTTCATTTTGTGCTGCTATGAAACAATGTCTGAGACTGAGTATTTTATAAAGTACACAAATTTATTGCTCACAGTTCTGGAGGCTGGGAAGTCCGAGCTCAAGGATCCAGCAGGTTTGTTGTCTGGTTGGGTACAGTCTTTCCTTCCAAGATGGTGCCTTGAATGCTGTGTCCTCACACAGTGGAAAGCAGAAGGGCAAAGAGAAAGGACTCCCTGCACCAATCCCTTTTGTAATAGCTACCTTATCACTTTCATAAAGGGAGGAGCATTTGCCAGAAGGAAAAAGTGAGACAGGGAAAGTGAGAAAGCACCCTACATGGAGGATGGTCATGTGCAATCCCTTGATGCTCACTCTCCTCTGGGGTTTTGGGTACACACATACATGTGCCTGGTCTGTTTCTCAAGGTGCCAGGTCAGGGACTCAAACAGGCTGCCCGCTGGCCATGTAGGATCCAGCCACTTAACCACCGCCACCTGCGGTGACCCACATTGAGTTCATAATATATGTAATGTCTAAAATTAGTTAACAGGTAAAATTCTAGGCTCTTTCCTCCTTCCAAGACTTCTGGTAAAATGGCTGGCTGCTCCATGGAATTAGTGCTTTCAAGGGTGAGACGATTCTTCACACAAACGTATTTTTATATAATCACACACAGGTTTATGTGCACCAAGGGTCCCAGTCACATGATCAACGACCAGGTCAGATCCAAACACCACACGCTGTCACAAGCCCCACCGCACACACAAGTCATGGTCATGCCCCCAGTACCAGAGAGAGAACCACACTCGAGCCACCGACCTCCACGTGGCAACCCAGGGACTCGAACATGCTTCCACCGCCGTTTTACGTACACGCGGACCCACGCTCGCCCAGGACCTGCCCACCAGAAATAGCGCGATATCCGACTTTGGGCGAAGCTGAGCCGTTTACTACCGGAGACTACGTTTCCCAGAAGACACTGCGTTGCGCGCCCAATCACGACGCAGCAGCGACGCGGCTTTGTGCGTCTGCGCCATCTTCCGGCTGCGGGCGGCGAGTCCGCTGGTGCCGAGGTGGGCTCGCGCCCTGGGCTGTGGGGTCGCAGCCGTGGTGGCACCCGGAACCAAGGACACGGCAGGTGAGGGGCTCCGGGGCTTTCCGGGCGCTCCAGGGTCCGTGCAGGAGCGAGTGCCGCGGCCGGGCGGGTCTCGGGCCTGAGAGAACCGGGACGTCGCGCCCCAGCGTTGAGTGGGCGTTTCCGGCCCTGGACTACATCTCCCGGCAGCCCCTGCGCCCCGCTGGCGCCGTCTTTTTTTTCCGCGTCTGGGCTCGTATTGGGGTTCTATGAACCCTCTAGGTGGGTGTGGAAGGTCCGCACTCCCTGAAATTGCGGATATTTTGCATTCGTTAGTATCTGTGCCTTTTTTTCTTTCTTTTCTTTTTTTCTTCTTCTTCCCAGTTAGGGAAGTAGTCTTGTTTCTTGAGTTTCTCCAAGAGTTGCAAGACCCTGAAAATTTAGAAATAGACTTATACTTGGAACCTTTTAGACTATCTTGTCCAAATTCTTTGTCCAATTATGGACAAAGGGTTGATTAAATCGCATTTCATCCATGTGACAGGTTATTGTACAGTTAATACAAATAATGCTTGTAAAAGTGATCATAATAAAAACTGCCCATTACATCATATTAAGCAACATTCATAATTATTTCATTTGTGCATTACTTAAAATTAAATATCTAGAATGTTTCAAGCACTGCCCTATGTTTCTTTACAAAATTCTACAATACTTTTCTGTATGTGCTGAAGTGAACACTTTCCCGAAACACTAACTAGATTAATGATGAACTCAAAGAGTGGCTAGATGACAGCACTCTAAATACTTGGGTCTTTTCTGTTCCTGACTTCTCGTTTTGTTTCCAGTTTGTCAGTGGATGGGTGGATTTGGCTTCTTTCTGCTGAATGTTCTCATACTGTACAAAGAATCCAGCTGTGGGTATCTTTGTTGGTTAATGTTGCCCAGTGTCATTTTTGACGCTGGCTTGTTGCTCCATTATGTTGCTGTGCTGATAAAGATTCTACCACTTGCCTGCTTGTGCATTTGCCTACTTAGGTACTAATTTTCAGTTCTGTATTTCAACAAATATTGTGCACACAGCTTTTGGACTGCTGTTTCTTGGTAGGGTGCTATGGTGTGGTGATAATGGAGCACTGGGCCTGTTCTATTTAATTTGTCTAATTGTCTCCTGCAACCCTGTCATTTTTGTTGACTCAGGTTAGACTCCACAAAGTGCTGTCTACAAAGCCCCAATTGGGTATAGGATTCTGTCAATTTGGATGCTGGGAAGAGTCAAGTACATTTCTGAAAGTGTTACATTTGATGCATGAGACAGTTAAATGACCTGTCTTAGGAAGGCTTTCTTTGGGGCTGGGGCTATGCATATTATACAAGCTTTCTGTGCTTTTTGACTTGAGAGCCTTTGTCCTTGAAGTACCAGGTGGGTCTCAATCACTGGAACAGGTCTAAGCATCCCTGTCTCAGTTTCACCTTTTCAATAAGGTAGACTCTCTGGATGTTTAGGCAAAATGGCAGGGTAAGGACCCCTAGTTCCTTGTCTCTTTGCAGCAGCTAAAGCTGGTTTTCTGGGTTAGGTGAGGATCACAGTTTGTTCCAACTCTCAATTTTTGTTGTAAATGGAAGACAAGCAGATGGGAATTTGTACTTTGGCGTTCTGGGAGCTGTGAGGCAAGCTTAGCCTCTCATATTTGCTCTTTCCTCCCCCAGCTCTGCCATCTCAGGACTCTGCCCTTCCCCAAGAGAGGAACCAGAAGAAGAACCCATCAGCCCTTGAAATTCTAAAAGTCATGTTCCTCGTGAGTCTTAAAATCATGTAAATTTTGCTTTCATTATCCTGAAACTTTCCACCTGGGTTCCACCCAGGGCTATATCTCTCAGAGGCCTCTTAGGAATAAAAGCATCAAGCAGGTGATCATCTGTCCCATTGCCCCTTCCTCTCTGACAAATGCCCATAGATTTGTTCCTGTATTTCCTGATGGTTTATTCTTATACCAGGAGACCAGATGGGCAATACTCCATTTTCCTATATGAAAAGAGCTTCCTTTGTAGGAACTGAGGTTTGAAGAGATAGAAATTCATAATTAGAAGTGATTGTATATGGAAAAGCAGGAGAAGTGGTATTAGTTGGCCTCAATTTCAGCACTTGAGGCGGTCAGTGTCCTGCTTTAGCACAAATTGATGATTTGGTGTGTAATTGAGGCTTCCTGGGAATCAGATCAGATGCCAGAATTAAGGCTTAGTTTGAGGTGGAACACAGCATTTGAATCTGGGTCATTCTCCCTTAGCTTCTTCAGCTTGACAGCAAGAGAAGTGCAGGGTTGAGGATGGTGATGATAGCAAGTGAGATAATCAGCCATATGGGTGGATGGTCACAGCTGGGAAGAACCTTAAATATCCAATCCAATCTCCGGATCCAAAATAAAAGAGTATTTGAGTCATTCTTTTTGATTGATTAGAAAATTGTACATTCGTGGTTTTTTTCCATGAAGAAAAATACTCATAATATGTTATATTATAATGATGAAATTATGTCTTCAAGAAGTTCTTGACTTCTATGAAAGTTCTGCTTTTAGGTTATAAAACATCTTTTATAGCATACTTTGAAGTAAAGTACTTTGGAGGACTGTCCATCAAAAATTCGTTGTCATCTCATAAAGATGGAAATGATAGGTCTCACCTTAACTCACAATTTATTATATGCTAACTGCAGAGTGGATGGTGTGTTATTATACTGTTTCTCTCTATTTTAATTTTTATCCCAGGCCTGTGCACAGGAGCTTTGGTTGCAGTAAAAAAGAGTGTTGAGAATATTTGAACATTCTGTTTTACTCATGTGCATTTTCTCTATTACTTGCTACTATCGAGCCCTAGCCTGTTTGTTCACTGAACAACCCCTTCTGGAACGACTTCCTCCAGCTCCTCTTATCCCAGTGTGAAATATTGAAATATGCATATATCATACATATCCGTTGTTCCAGGGGTCAGAATTATTCAGGGATGTGGCCATAGTCTTCTCTCAAGAAGAATGGCAATGGCTGGCACCTGCTCAGAAGGAGTTGTACAGAGACGTGATGTTGGAGACCTACAGCAACCTGGTCTCACTGGGTAAGGTGATTTGGTCTATTAGTTTGGAGATTATCCTTGGACATGTCTGTTCCTTCCTCATCAATCTCTGGGTATTTTTCAGTGGTCAGTCATTTTTGAGTGGTTAAAGGACAGCCCATTCCTGAAGCTGTGTCTTCCCCTATCCTCAGGCAACTGTCTTATTTTCCTCTGGTCTAGCAGTTGCCTCTCCTGCTCAGTGACCATGTCCTAGATCTGAATTCTTTAGCCCCTCATGCCATAACTGTGTGACATGTTTCTTCTCATCTCCAGGCCTTGCCATTTCCAAACCTGATGTGATCTCCTTCCTGGAGCAATGCAGAGAGCCCTGGATGGTAGCAAGAATGCTGACAGAAAGTCTGTGCCCAGGTATGTGAATCAGGGAAGGGAGCAACCACTGTAACAGGTCAACTGGTCAGCAAGGAAGGAGGATGTTGGCATAAGATCTTTTTTTCAGGTTGGCAGATTTGGAGGTCATGTCTTAGCTGTCATCTTCCTCAGCTTATCAGCAGCCTTTGAGAAAAGTTGCTACTTCACTCCTGAAACATTTAAAACTTCAGCCTGTATGTAGGGCTAGAGTGAGTATGGATACTCTTGGGTAGTTACTAAGGAAAGTATTTTTCTCCTCAGAAGGATGTCTAAAGGAATTTATAATGATTGTTTGAGTTTTGGAGAGATAGTCAACAAGTACTTACTGTATTTTTCTTATACATCATAGGGTATGCCAGTGTATATTGGTGAGGCAGGCAGGCATTCTCCCTACCTCCATGGACCTTATACCATAATGGGGAATGGACATTAAAATACACACACACACAGATGTGTGAAAGAGAAAGAACAGGTCCAGTCGGGGTACATAACAGAGCTGATGGCCTTGCCGAGGGTAAGGCATTTCAGGTAACACTTGGAAGTTGAATTGAAGTTGGGGAATCCTCTATTGGAGCCCGTGTGTGAAGGACCTGAACAGGGGAAGCCCTTGGTACCTCTGAGAAACTGGACAGCCATTATGGCTGGAGTCCATGAGCAAGGGGAGGAGTATAAGAGAAATACTAGGGGTGCTGGCAGGTGGCATGGTGGTTAAGGTGCTGGATTCTCACATGGCCGACCACAGTTCGAGTCTCAGACCTGATGACTTGCTTTCTCACTTTCTCTTTCTCTCTTCTCTCCGTCTCTCTCTTGCCAAATTAAAAAATAATAATAGGAACCAGCAGTTAGCGTAATGGCTATGTCACTGGGCTCCCACGTAGTCGACCGCGGTTCGCGTCCTGGACCCGGTGGCTTAAAACTCACACCGGGCGCGTGTGCGTGCGTGCCCAAAATCCCGAGAGGAGAATGGAGGAGAAGGGATTGCAGTGTGACCATACCCCCTGGTGGGTGATTTCTCGCTTTCTCTCTCTATGTCTCTGTCTGTCTGGCGAGCGCACGCGCCCTATAGCGAAAATCTCTCAAAAAAAAGAAAAAAAAAGAAAAAATAATAATAACAGGGGCTGACAGGTTGCTTGATGGTTAAGGGCGTTGGACTCCCATGTGGCTGACTACTGTTCAAGTCCCTGATATGATAGCTTACTTTCTCACTTTCTCTCTCTCTCTCTCTCTCGCTCGCTCTGTTCCTCTCTGGTCAAATTAAAATAAATAAATCAAGTTAAAAATAACAATAACAACAACAAATGGAATTAAACAAATAAATTTTTAAAAATACTAGGAAAGGCTGCTATGTTAAGAAGTTTGGATTCTGTACTGTGGGCCCTGGGAAGCAGAGCTGAGTCATGATTTGTGGATTCTTACTTGGAGAATGTATGAGCATCCTGCTCCTCACACATACTTTACCTCCTACCTTCAGAATTCATTGACAATTTTCTCTCAGATTAGATACGGTTATTATGGTCACGAAATAGTGATTTTTGGGGGGCTGGCAGGTGGTGTGGTGGTTGAAATGCTGGACTCCCACATGGCTGACCACGGTTCAAGTCCTGGACCTGGCGGCTTGCTTTCTCATTCTCCCTTTCTCTCTGCCTGTCTCTCTCTGGTCAAAATTGAAGAATAATGATAATAAATATAATTAAAAATAAATCTTTAAAAAAATAGTAACTTTTTTTGAGAAATTTTTGCTATAGGGTGTGTTTGCTTGCCAGAGGGACGAAAAGACAGAAAGTGAGAAATTACCCCCCAGGGGATTATGACCATGCCACATTCCCCCTCCTCCATTCGCCTTTCAGGATTTGGGGCACACATGCATGCATGCATGCAGTCAGCATGAGTTTCAAGCTGGGACCAGGACTCAGGCTACCATCAGCCGCATGATAGTCCAGCACCTTAAGTACTGTGCCACCTGCTGGCCCCACAAAATAGTGATTAAAAAACAACAACAACAACAAAAAATAACAACAGCAATAAAAAAAACTTTCTTTTTTCTTATTTGTTTACTACTGTAAAGAACATTTATTCATTTATATCAAGTGGATTATTTTACTCAGTAATAAAGCATAACCCAATTTCATCATTTATCACAATATACATATTTTTCCAAATTTGCCCAGTGAGAATCCTTTCAAACTTGCTTCTGGGTATTTTTTGTTTTTTAGTTTTTGCTATAGGGTGCATGTGCTTGCTGGAGAGACAGAAATAGGGAAAATTAGAAATCACCCTCTAGGGGGAATGGCTGTGCCACATTCCCTTCCCTTCCATTCACCTGTTGGGATTTTGAGTACACAGGCACATGTGCCCACTGTTTTTTCGTTTTGTTTTTAAAGAATTATTTTATTTAACTTACTTTATTTATTTTAATTTGACCAGAGATGGACAGAGAGAGAGAAAGTAAGAAAGCAAGCCACCAACCAGGTTCTGGGCTTGAACCGTGGTCAGCCATGTGGGAGTCCAGCGCCCTTAACCACCATGCCACCTGCCAGCCCCTGCCCAGTGTTGTTTTTAAAGCTGCCAGGTCCAGGACTTAAACTTTGCAGTCAGCCATGTAAAATCTAACCCTCTTAACTACACCATTTGCTGGCCCACTGCTGGTTTATATATCATTCTTTTTATCATTTGTGAAATACTGAAATTAAGATTAGAGTGAGTCTTTTCCTTCCACTCAACACAATATTAATAAATCTTTACCAAGGGGCTTGCAGGTGGCATGGTTTAAGGTGCTGGACTCTCACATGGCTGACTAGTTCAAGTTCTGGACCTGGTGACTTGCTTTCTCACTTTCCGTTTCTGTCTCTGGTTAAATTTAAAAAAAGATAATAATAAGAAATAAAATTAAATAAATGAATAAATCTTTGAAAAAAAAATGAATTTTTACCAAGCACTAGTTGTATCAGGGAGTAGAAGTAGTACCTAAAAAGGCAGACATTATAAATTGAAACTTTCTGTACAGATTGAAGTTATATATTCTCATGTGTTTTTAAAAATACATTCTTTGCAATAAATGTCAAAGCTAGAATTCACAAAAAAAATCCTAGAATCCTGGAAATAAGGAATCTAAGTTTGACTCTTGTTTTCAAATTGATTGGAATTTTTTTTTTTTGAGAGGTTTTCGCTATAGGGCACGTGCGCTCGCCAGACAGACAGAGAGAGACATAGAGACAGAAAGTGAGAAATCACCCCCCAGGGGGGATGGTCACGCCGCAATCCCTTCTCCTCCATTCTCCTCTCAGGATCTTGGGCACGCCTGCACACGCGCCTGGCGTGAGTTTTAAGCCACCGGGTCCGGGATGCAAACCGTGGTCGACTATGTGGGAGTCCAGCGACATAGCCATTAGACTAACTGCTGGTTCCCTTGATTGGAATATTTTTGAGTACAATCAAAACACCTTAGAAACATGATAGTACTGTTGGTTTCAGTAAATTTGAGAAGCTGAGAGTTTAAGAGGGTAGTGCTTTTTGTTGAGGACAGCAGATAAAGCTTGGCCAATTTCAGTAATGCTGTGATGCTGTGGCACAATAGTGTACACAGAAATGGAAACATTTGTATTCATGGTCTCCTAAACAACAGATTAAAAACTCAGAAGTATATTATAAACACTGTTTCTGCTTTGTAAATAAAGCTTTTTTTAGAGAGAGAGATTTTTTGCTATAGGGCGTGTGTGTGTCAGAGAGATAGAGAGGGACAGAGAGACAGAAAGCAAGGAATCACCTTCCGAGGGATGGCCACACCGCAATATCTTCTCCTCTGTTCTCCTTTCAGGGTTTTGGGCATGTGAATACACAGGCCTGGTGTGAGTTTTAAGCTACTGGGTCCAGGATTCAAACCATGGTCTACTGTGTGGGAGGCCAGCGATATAATTGTTAAATCATCTGCTGGTCCCATTTTATAAGAAAATTTTAGCATGGAATTTTCTCCTATTTTGTTATCTCCCAAAAAGACACAAAGTATATTCATGGTCATTTTTTTTAAAGAGAAGCCATTGCACAAAATGTATAGTTCATGCACAGTAAAATGCTTATCACACACTGGAGTTTAATTGCACATAATTAGTATGTTAGTGCAGCGACATCAGTAGGCAGAACCCTCTTAACAAAATGACAGGTTTTTGAGGTGACAGTTGCCAGAATCATGCCCAGAAAGCTAATGCTCCTTTCGTAGTTTTTATCATTTTCCATTGTAGCAGCAATTGTAAAGTCTAGTGGTTTTTGCTTAATACTTTTACAGATAACACAATGAGGAGGCCTTTAATATGCCACCATATTTTTTTTTTTTTGAGAGGTGTGTTTTTCTTTTTTTGCCATAGGGCGCGTGCACTCGCCAGACAGACAGACAGAGACAGAGAGACAGAAAGCGAGAAATCACCCCCCAGGGGGGATGGCCACGCTGCAATCTCTTCTCCTCCATTCTCCTCTCGGGATCTTGGGCACGCACTCACACGCGTCCGGCGTGAGTTTTAAGCCACCAGGTCCGGGACACGAACTGCGGTTGACTACGTGGGAGTCCAGCGACATAGCCATTACGCTAACTGCTGGTCCCAATATGCCACCATCTTAAGCAGACATGTGCCTATAACGTCCTCAGGCCATCTGTATGATACACTTTAGGAACACATTCAGAAGCACCAATTTGATTTGTGCATGCTTCCTTGCATCAACCTGTAATGGAGTAATTTTAAGCCAAATGGGGTTGTTTGATGTAATTGTAGTAATACCTGCCAGTGCATCTGAACTCATGTATCAGTTAGAATCAGGATTGAATACACCATTCAACTTTTCATTGTAATTTGAATAAGCAGCAAAGTATGTTGCTCTGAAAAGGGCCCATCCTTTGTAAGTTGGACCTAGTCCTCCAAAGAAGGAATAAGACTTCTTCCAAGATCACCTTTAAGCAATAGAAAAGTCCTGGAGAGGCAACTTAGTTGACAAAGGCAAAAAATAGCCATAATGTGTAGCTAAACTTCAGATATAGAAAACATCACAGAGAAAGATGGCAGCCATGCTATTACAACTTCCAGTGGACCTGTGAGAAAAGCTCATGCCACCACATCCCCTGGCAGATAGGTGTGCCAGCATATACATCTGGTTCATTTCTCCTACATGCCCTCCAGAATCTGGCAGGCCATCGACCTGGCCATACACCCTTCCATTAACTTTGTTTTTCTTTTTCTCAAAAAGAATTATTTATTTAACTTTGTTTATTATTATTATTATTATTTAAAGAATTACTTTATTTAACTTTATTTTAATTTGACCAGACAGGGACAGAGTGAGAGTGAGAGAGAGAGAGAGAAAGTGAGGAAGCAAGCTGCCAGGTCCAAGATTCAAACCATGGTTGGCCATGTGGGAGTCCAGCACCCTTACCACCATGTCTCCTTCCTATCCCCTTCATTACCCTTTTTTTTTTTTTTTGAGAGTTTTTTTTCCTGCTACAGGGCGTGTGTGTGCACCAGAAAGACAGAGAAAGACAGACAGGCAGAAAGCAAGTAATCACCCTCCAAGGGGATGGCCACGCCACAATCCCTTCTCCTCCATTCTCCTCTCGGGATCTTGGGCACACACATACACACGCCTGGAGTGAGTTTAAGCCACCAAGTCCAAGACTTGAACCACCGTTGACTACATGGGAGTCCAGTGACATCACCATTACATCAACTGCTGGTCCCTTTCCATTACTTTTTAAAAAGAGTTACTTATTTAGTTTTACTTATCATTATTATTTTATTTTTAATTTGCTACAGGGAACATGTGTATTCACATGTGAGAGAGAGAGAGAAAGTGAGAAAGCAAGCTGCCAGGTCTAGACTTGAACTGTGGTCAGCCATGTGGAGATCTAGCACCTCAACCACCACTCCACCTACTGGCCCTCCTATCACTTTTATTTTTACTTTTTATAATTGTGAAAGGCTCACAATATAAGATTTACCATCTTAATCTCTTTACATGTACAACTCAGTATTAGGTGCATTTACATTGTTGTTCCACTGTTATCATTTGTCTCCAGAACTCTGTTCATATTACAAAATTTCATCACTTAAAAAAAAAAAAACTACTCTATTGAGATAGCTTATATTTAATAAAATGCACACATTTTCACTGCTGTATTAGTGCATGTCAACAGATTTGTATACCTGCATAATAAGCACCACAGTCAAGACAACACTTCCATCATTCTGAAAAGTCTGTGTTCTTTCCCACACACTGCCCCACACCTTCAGTCCCAGACAACCAATGACTTATTTTCTTAGCACTCTAGATTATAATTATCTTTTCTAAATCTCATAGAAACAGTCATTTTAAAAATAAATTGTTCAGAGTTGATTGTGATCAGCACTAACATTTTATTTATTTTTTCTTTTTTTTTGAGAGGTTTTTGCTATAGGGCACGTGTGCTCACCAGACAGACAGAGAGAGACAGAGAGATAGAAAGTGAGAAATCATCCCCCAGGGGGGATGGCCACGCCGCAGTCCCTTCTCCTCCATTCTCCTCTCGGGACCTTGGGCACACATGCACACGCACCCAGCGTGAGTTTAAGCCACTGGGTCCGGGACTCGAACTGTGGTTGACTACATGGGAGTCCAGCAACATAGCCATTACGCTAACTACTGGTCCCAGCACTAACATTTTAGAACTATTCTTAGAACCTGTCTCTCTGATGCTTTCCCTGTTCTTATTTATATATTTCCCCTTTCTCTGTTCCACTTGCCCACTTTCTTATTGTTTAACCAGATTCTGGAGCTTAAAGAAAGGTATTTAGAGTTTAAACCAATTTTTCTACAGTTCTTTTTTGGGGAAAGGATAAAACAAACACATACTTGATCTTTTTGTCCTTTTTCAGAATTGGAGCCCAAAGATGACACCCAAGTATTACCTCCAAAGCAGCATGTTTGTGAAGTTAAATCACCCCAGTGGGAGATAATAGAAAGCCTTGCAAGTTATGGTCTTGAATGCTCAAGTTTTCAAGATGATTGTGATTGTAGAAGCCAGTTTAACAGACAACTGGGAAATTCAAATAGACATTTCAGTCAGATGATAATCAGTCATGAAGAAATGCCCACTTTTCACCAGCAAGCATCCCTTACCTTTTACCAGAAAATTCACAATGGAGATAAACCCTGTGAATATAGTAAATGTAGAAAAGACTTCTGGCAGGAGGAATTCCTTATTAATCATCAAGGACTTAATGAGAAACCCTATAAGTGTAAGGAATGTGGGAAGGCCTTTAAATATGGCTCACGACTAATTCAGCATGAGAATATTCATTCTGGTAAGAAACCGTATGAATGTAAGGAATGTGGTAAGGCCTTTAATTCTGGTTCAAATTTCATCCAGCATCAGAGAGTTCATACTGGTGAGAAACCTTATGAATGTAAGGATTGTGCAAAGGCTTTTAGTCGAAGCTCACAGTTGATTGAACATCAGCGAATTCATACTGGTGAGAAACCCTATCAGTGTAAAGAATGTGGCAAGGCCTTCAACCGGATCTCACATCTTAAAGTACATCATAGAATCCACACTGGTGAAAAGCCCTATGCATGTAAAGAATGTGGGACGACCTTTAGTCATCGGTCTCAGTTGATTCAACATCACACTGTTCATACTGGCAAGAAACTGTATGAATGCAAGGAATGTGGGAAGACCTTTAATCAAGGCTCAACTCTTATTCGACATCAGAGAATTCATACTGGTGAGAAACCTTATGAATGTAAGGTGTGTGGAAAGGCCTTTAGGGTAAGCTCACAACTTAAGCAACATCAGAGAATTCACACTGGAGAGAAACCCTACCAATGTAAAGTTTGTGGTAGGGCCTTCAAACGGGTCTCACATCTTACTGTACATTACAGAATCCATACGGGTGAGAAACCGTATGAATGTAAGGAATGTGGGAAGGCATTTAGTCATGGCTCACAACTTATTCAACACCAGGTAATTCATACTGAAGAACAGTCCTGTGAATATGAAGAATGTGAGAGGACCTTAAGTCATGACTCAGCTACTGTTCAACATCAGAGAATGCATAATACAGGGACACATGTGAATACAAGAAATGTGGAAAAGCCTTCTATTAGCCCTTATCCCTTATTAATTATCAGAGAATTTATGTTGGCAAGCAACCATTTGAATGAAAGTAACGGTGAAAGCCCACTAGCTTAGACAAATCACAACCTCTGTGTCTTAGAGAAAGACTTGAAGAAAGGAATGTAATACATGAGAATGCCTCCATTCAGAGTTATATTAAAGTCATAAACTTCATATAAAAAAAAAACTATGTGGATGTAAATTGTTTAGACTGTGATTGTCCAAGAAGCAGAGAAAGGTTGGAAATAAATTTGTCTCTAAAACATTCCAGAACCACATTTTCTGACCATGGTGTGATAATTTTAACAGTAGTCGAAAAGTTTTAGTTTTCTTTGGGGAAGATACAATAGCCAAATTATTTTTGGCTTAACAAGGAAATAAATCATGAAATTGTTCTGAATAGTAATGAAAAGAAAATTTTTATGTGCTACAAGATGGTAGCCAAAGATACCTCCAGAAGAATTTTTAGTCTTTAAAAGCATGCATGTATACAAAAACCAAAAAGACTATTCACATACAATAACTGGACTATTCAAGACTACCAAACATCCAAGCAATTACAAAATTAATAGAAAATAAAAATAAACTGAAGTAAAAAGTGGTCATAATAATCTGTTTTTATTTCTTCCTAATTCAGGAGTAATTTAAATTTAGGAGAGTGTTTCTTAATTTCCATATTGTTGTTCTTGATGATTTTTAACAACTTCAGTCACAGACAGAAGTTGATTACCTACTCAGCAGGCATACCAAACTCCTCTTTTTTTTTCTTTCTTACTTTATTTTTAAAATTTATTTTTATTCATATTTAATCACATCTTTACAGTGTACAACCTTTCTTTTTCCAGCACAAATACCATGCATGTCAGTCAAGAAAAAGATACTACTATATCCATTATCAGCAAACAGCTTCTCATTTTCTGTCAATCAAACATACTTTTCTTCTTCTTTTTTCTTCTCCCTTTCACTCCCTCCCTTCCCTACTAAACGTTTTTTTTTTTTTTCACATTTTATTGATTCATAAAAGATCTTGAACTAAAAATATGGACAAGTCTAAAATCTAGTGACAGATGCACTGTAATTTTCTTCTGGAACATTTTTTTTCTCTCTCCATTCCGTCTTTTACTAAAGAGAGGTATAAACTAATTTATCTGAAAAAAAAATTAGGTTAACCTCAGTTTGGTCTGTTATTTGCACAAAGCCCCATAAGAATTCAATTTCTGGGACCAGCAATTAGTGTAATGGCTATGTCGCTGGACTCCCATGTAATTGACCACAGTTTGCGTCCCGGACCCGGTGGCTTAAACTCACACCGGGCATGTGTGCATGCGTGCCCAAGATCCCGAGGGGAGAATGGAGGAGAAGGGATTGCTGTGTGGCCATCCCCCCCGGGGGTGATTTCTTGCTTTCTGTCTCTCTGTCTCTCTCTGGCGAGCACATGCGCCCTATAGCAAAAACCTCTCCAAAAAAAAAAAAATTTCTGATGCAAGGCAACAGTTACTATTGTAGTTTTGAAATTATGCAAATAACCATTCTGCCACAAAATAAGAATGCTTACAAATATTTTCCAGTTGCAAAGGGTTCAGAAAGTGAAAAAAGTTCATGTTTCCGTTATAAAAAAATTGCTGAACAACTCACAAGAGAACCAAAATCCTTAAATCTGGAAGACAAAGCATAAAAGAAAGTCAATAATATTTCAGATAAAAGTCATAGAATTCTATTTCACCAAATCAGTCTCATGTAATCTCTCTTCTGTTGAATTTTCAGTGTTCCTGTGGTCTGATCTTTCCATTTATTTATTTTTCTTTTTTATTTAAATTTTAATTTATTTTTACATTTTTCCACAAACATTTACTTTACATATCAAAAAATTTAACTCATACTCCATAGTTCTTGAAAGTTAATAAACAACTTTCAAATTTTTTTTTTGAGAGTTTTTTGCTATAGGGCATGTGTGTTTGCCAGAAAGACAGACAGAGATAGAAAGTGAGAAATCACCCCTAGGGGATGGCCATGCTGCAGTCCTTTCTCCATTCTCCTCTCAGGATCTTGGGCATGAACACACACGCGCCCAGTGTAAGTTTAAGCCACTGGGTCCAGGACTCAAACCATGGTTGACTACATGGGAGTCCAGCAACATAGCCATTACACCAACTGCTGGTCCCTAAAATTCCCATTTCTATTAAAGAAACTCTTAACTTACTGAAAGCAGTATTAAAACAAACATCTCTTTGTTTTTCCATTATCCTTCAGAATGAGTATCCTCACTGTAAGAAAATGGGAAAATTTATAAACAAAAATCTTGACAATAGCAATTTTCAAACTGGTACTATAAAAGCACATTTGATAGATATCAGAGAAATGAAGGAATTTCAGCCAATTCATTATCACATATGAAGAAAAGTCAACTTTGAGACAGCAAGCATTTTATAACCTAAAAGTTCCTCCTAGAACTGTATATGCAATGAATGATGTAGAAAAAAGTTTTTGTCAGAAGAAATACCTTTCACCATTGGAAAATTCATACTGGTTATCAGCCTTATGGCTGCAATGTGGAAAGATTTTCCCTGGTTCCCACTATCTTTCTCAATATCAGAGAATTTATATTGGGGGGAAAACTGAGTATGAAGAATGTAGAAATGCCTTTGATACTTTTTCACTATTAACCATCAGATAATTAATGACTGGTGAGAATCCTGTGAATGTAAGCTTTTGGAAAAACTTTTATTCAGTTTTAACAACATAATGTACACCATTGAACTCATGCTATGAGAATCCTATCAATGTACTGAATATGGAAAATCCTTTAGTTATTTTCCCTGAATTAGTTCAGAGAACTCATACTGGGAAAACACCCTATGAATGTAAGGAATGTGGAAAGGCCTTTATAGGTATCACATAGCTTACCGAACATCAGACAGTTCATACTGGTGAGAAATAATATAAATGTAATGAATGTTGAGAAACCTTACAAGTGTAAGGATTATGGGAAGGCCATTAGCCAGGACTCAGCTATTACCAGAGAATTCATACTGGTGAAAAACTATATAAATGTAATGAATGTGGAAAAGCCATTGATTTTAATTCATATCTTAATGTACATCTTAGAAATTATACTGGCAAGAATTCATTAAATGTTCTGAATGTGGAAAAGATTTTAGTCATATATATCACTAATTATTCAGAATTCAAAGAGAATTCATTCTGGTGAAAAGTTTTATGAATGTTAAGAGTATGCAAAAACTTGGGACCAGCAGTTGGTGTAATGGCTATGTTGCTGGACTCCCATGTAGTCGACCACGGTTTGGGTCCCGAACCCAGTGACTTAAAACTCATGCCAGGTGCGTGTGCTTGCATGCCCAAGATCCTGAGAGGAGAATGGAGGAGAAGGGATTGCGGCATGGCCATGCCCCCTGGGGGGTGATTTCTCACTTTCTGTCTCTCTGTCTGTCTCTGCCTGGAGAGCGCATGCACCCTATAGCAAAAACCTCTCCAAAAAATATAAAAAGAGTATGCAAAAACTTTTATAATGATCTCACACCTACACCATCCAAGAATTCACACTAATGAGAAACTCTATAAATGAAATGAGTGTGAAAAAGCCTTCACTGTTCATGTCTTCCTTGACATCAGAGAATCCATACTGCTGAGAAACCTTATGACTATAAGGATTGTGGGAAGACTTTTTGGCAGGGTTCAAAACTTGAACAAAATGAAGTAGTTTGTGCTTGGGGAAAAGCCTCGTGAAGGTAAGGAATATGAGAGAGCTTTTAGTCAGTGTTTACAACATTAGAAAATTCATACCCAGCGTATGGGAAAAATGTAGAAAAGTCTTCAGGCACTGTCATATCCTTCTCAATCTTAAAGAATTCATGCTGGAGGGAAAAAAATGACAGAAAAAGACTCTTCTAGTGTCATCCCTCAAAGAACATCAGATAACATAATTATGTATAACTTTGTCAAGTGTGGGAATTCTTTTTATTTCAACTTGTCACTCCTATTGGAGAATTTATGACTAAAAACTATATTAAAATGTAATGTGTAAAAGTCTTCCATCAGTACCTATTCATTATTATTTTTTTGAACAAGTTTTTGCCATAGGGCACTTGTGCTCTCCAGAGAGACACAGAGAGACAGAAAGATAGAAAGCAAATCTCCCCCGAGGGGGGACGGTCATGCCACAGTCCCTTCTCCTCCATTCTCCTCTCAGGATCTTGAGCATGCACACACACGTGCTCATGAGGACCAACTGTTGGCCCTCATTACTAAGTTTCTTTTAATTTAAAAACATTTTTTGTTTAACTTTATTTTAATTTGACCCAAGAAGGACAGAGTGAGAAAGAGAGAGAAAGGGAAAGTGAGAAAGCAAGCTGCTAAGTCCAGGACTCAACCCATGGGCGGCCATGTGGGAGTCCAGTGCCCTTAACCACCATGCAACCTGCCAGTCCCTATCCATTACTGATTATTGGAGGAGTTATGATGGCAAGTAACCATGAAAGTGGAGAAATTCTAGAAGCCCTTAGCTTAAAATAATCCCAATTTACAAGAATACATAAGAGAAAACAATTCTGTGAATTTATTGCCACATTTCTTTTTATTTCTAAGAGATATATTTGCTGTAGAGTGTATGTGCTCACAGGAGAGACAGATAGAAAGTGAGAAATCACCTCCCAGGGGGGATAGCCACACAGTAATCCATTCTTGGGATTTTGGTCATGCACTCATACACACCAAGCATGAGTTTTAAGCTACCCGGTCCAAGACTAAAACCATGGTCGACTACATGGGGAACTCAGCGATGCAACCATTATGCCATCTACTGGTCCTGCCACATTGCTTTCTAAAAGTTAGAAAATTCCATTTTGAATGTAATGAAAGTAAAAAAAAATCTTTATTCAGAGGGTATCTTTTATTATGAATCAGAAAATGCATTGTGAATTCAATTTCAGGCATGCAAAACAAGAATATTTAACTATCAAAGAACTTGAGAAAGGTGTAGAGAAGTTTGTAATGAATTAAGCAATTCATGCTGGCCATAATTCAGGTGAAAAATAGAATAGAGTAGACATAAGCAATGCAACAATTGTAATTCTATTACTTAATAGGAATTTTTCTGATGGAGACAATGAGAACACTGAAGTGAATGAGCATTCTATAAAGCAGAACTTGCAGGATGTATTTATATCTTTACTCAAAAAATATTGCAACAAAATGCATTTTAATTAAATGTTTAGAAAGATTTATTTATTTTTCATTTATTTATCATTATTCTTCAATTTTGACCAGAGAAAGACAAAGAGAAAGGGAGAGTAAATAAGCAAGCTGCCAGGTCTGGAACTTGAACTATGGTTGGCCATGTGGGAGTCTAATACCTCAACACCATGCCACCTGCTGGCCCCTACTTAATTTTTTTAGAGAGATTTTTACTATAGGGCACGTGCTGGAGAGACAGAGACAGAGACAGAAACAGAAGTGACAAATCATCCCCCTGGGGAATGGCCATGCCACAATCCCTTCTCCACTCTCCTCTAGGGATTTTGGGCACACACAGAG